TTCTTTCTGCTTGCCACTACAGCATTTCCTGCTTGCTGTGGGTTGGCATGGAAAGCACTGAGGCCCAATTTCCCGCCAGTGGAAGCTGCTGGTGATGTCAGAGCCGGCGATGCTGGAGAGGGTGATGCTCCAGACACTGGCGATGCTGTAGATGATGGCGCTGGACATGACTGGCTCATCAAGCTGTTAGTTTCGGCTCTGACACTAGGAGTCGTTGGCAGCTTGTGGGGCTTCAGCATCTTTCGTGAGGAGTCCGACCCCTTGGCTGCAGAAGTTCTATTCTTCTTGCTTGCTGGCTTGCTGTCGTGCTTCCTTCTGCGCCAGCTCCACTGGCGGGCATACTTTTGGGTGAAGTTTCAACGAGATCCCGCAACGGCAAAGAATCCCTACCAAAAGTTCATTGTAGCTGAATTCGACCCCTCCAAACCTGTCCTGCGCAGACATCGAGTATCTCAGCCAGCCCTTGTGACTGGCAATCGTGCCAAAGTACTTCATCTGCAAAAGCCTTTGCAAGGCTGGCCCAGCTTTTGGGACATTCCTTCACGAATGGATGCTGTTGCAATGTCGATGCAGAGTACAGTTGCTCCTTTCTACCATTTGTCATCCTGGCGGCGATCGATGTCAGAGTTGAGCAACAAGTGCAACAATGTGCCTTTCCTGTCACATGATGATGTGGTGCTCCTTTCTAGGATTTCGCTGGTTTTCCTCATCGGCAAGGTGTGTCTTCTGGCGCTCGTCATGTTGGCTCCGCTTCACTTCAGTGACACGTACCTGCGGTATAATGAAGCGCAGGATGTCGTGGAAGACATGTACGATCATGTACTGAGCTTGGGAGACCGCAAGAATTCGGCCGTGGACAGCTATGCTTCTGGTTTCGTCCGCATTCTCTACCTCTGGTGGATAGGCAATTCCGAACTGTATCGAGACCTTTTCATTGCAGTGGCAACTGCCTGCATCGCTCTCGCAGCATGCTGGCGCTGGACAGGTATTTTTTCTCTTCTCGCCTCATGCCTTCACGCCCTGGCTTTGTTCGTGGTCGTCGATGCTGAGCTTCGGAAAGTAATTATACTTCGAGATGCCGAATTGGCAGGGCAATGCTGGTTTGGAGCCATAGGGCTGAATGTCTGGTTTCAGCGAGCATGCACTTTTCTCGGTGCGTTCGGGGTGCCAGCGTTTGTCCAGGCAGTGAACTTGAACTTGGCAAGTCGAAGCAGAAACACGCAGGGACATATTGTCGTGTTTGATCTGCTAGCAAATACCTTACTTCCACCTCCAGCCAATGTACTGCTGGTATCCGCAGCAAACCTGCCATATTCAATTCAGCTGAACGATTGCCTTTTGGATTTGCAGATATACAGATTTGCAGTCGCAAGCGCGACCACCGTTGTTACGTTTCTGACTGCGCCCGGTGCTGCCACCATGTCCGATATAGTTTCCTTTGCTGCACAAGCAGTGCTGAAGCTCAAGGGGCCATTTGATGCATACGCAGTTCGCTTGAAGAGAATTGGTGCCATTGCCCGAGCTCTGTCCGAGTCACATCCGGTTGATTACGAACCCCTGACTTTCGAAGATGCAGAGACTTGTCCACAAATGCGGTACTTCAGCGACATGCCTGCATGGTGGTGTGCAAAAGTACGCTTCTACGAGGTGATGTCCGCAGCTAACGTGGGCTTCATCCCCCAAGATCCCGCACAAACTCAGCGCAGCAAGAAGAGGCTGACATCTGCGACTTTGGGTGGTGGGGAAGAAGTTCACATTGAAGTTGGACAGGACAAGGTGTGGGCGACCAGCAGGTTGCTGCGGCGGAGGTTGGCCGTGTCGATTCAGTTCACAGAGCCAAGCCTCTGGGCTTTCTGGACCCTGGAAGTCTGTGGCCATCGAACATGTTACAGGACATTTCTTGGCTGAAGGGCGTCTGTGGATATGAGGTATAGTCTAAACTCCTGAAGGGGTGTTATACTGTGGATTCTTTAGGGGAGTATTCCAGGTGTTATTAAAGCGGATACTAAGAGGTTAGACTATAGCTCATATCACCTTGAGCCTTGTATGGGGTGGGGCAACCATGTAGGGAACCTCAGGTTGATAGATACAACGAAATCCCCTAATACCTACAGAAGCGCACGCAGCTGTGGTTTGCAGGGAGTCAGTCTGGGGTGTTGTAAGAGTGCGGACCAAATCCTTTGGCTTTAGGGCGGAAGGGGGCAACTTGGAACCACATGCCTCCAGGACCCTGGCAGGCGCGGAGGGTGGCTGCTTGGATGGTCAGTGGTGCCAGTGGCCCCCAGTGTTAGCACCTGTCTGCTATTGCCACATTGACAAGAACGAGTTGTTTGAGCCTGGCAACACAGTCCCCAGCCCATTGGACCTGGAGTCTATCTCTCCTCTGAGAGGTTGGTTTGTGTCCGCGCGGGTATGGAAGGATATTTGGAGGGCAGTTGGAAGGATTGGACATTGCGGACCACACTTGAGTGGTTCGACGAACAGTCAGGGGCTGTAGCACTGGTGGACGACAAGGGCAGGATGAAGCTTGTGAAATTCAATGGGACTTGGAGCAGTCATGGCAAGGGCGGCTTTGGTACATTTCAGCTAGATCGGCCGCAGATCTTGGCGCGCATAGGTTGCCCTTTCCGCAAGCGGCCCATCCAGCTTTCAAACCTGCAATTCTCGGGAGGCGAGGATTCCGCAAACAAATGGTCCCCAAAGGCGCTCTGCATGCTTACCTGGAAGCCAACGCCAAACGAGGTGAGAACTGAACAAGTGACACTTTCGCAAATGGTGGAGAGGATCTCCACTCGCTGGCGCCAAGTCTTTGCCGGCGAGTCTTACGGTGACAAGGTGAATCTGATTACCTTGGCGGATCCTGTGGATGAATGGCGCCGGGGAGAAGGCGAGCTCCTCTACCACGAGGAATTTGACATGCGCGGCGGTCGTACTCCAGGTGGTGAGCATGGGCAGGATCGGCTTGAGGGCAACGCCGGCAGAGTTGAACTGAAAGACATTCTTGCAAGCGAGAAGGTGCAGGTCCTCAGTGTTAAGCTAACAACACATGCCCGCACATTAAAGTTCCGGGACAAGACCTGCGCTGAATCTGTCGCTTTCTGTTGCTCAAGCTACAACGACACGGCTCGGGATGAAGGATACTCTGATGACCCGGCTCCATTGATCCCTCCCTGCGAGATTTACCGCAGATTGTGGCTTCGTGAGAAGAAGGATAAGCCCGCAACAGGTGAGCCCAGTTCAAAATTGTGTGATCATACATGCAAACTTTCCTAGCATCTCTAGCAGTAGAAAGGGTCGGGTGATGTCCATGATAGCCCATGATGTTGAAGTATGCGTTATGCTTGCTCTGAGATTTGTTTGACAAGCCCGCGAGGCAAGGGGCCGACACAACCTGCAACAAGTTCAAGCAGCGCGCCGCAAGCTGATGATGGGGAAGCGCTCCCAGACGACCAGGTGACCATAGCCTTTCCAGGTGAGAGGGAGGGTGTACATCCAGGAGCTTGCCAACGAGCCTCGAGCAACAGGCCTCGTCCAAAGAAGAAGGCCAAGAGGAAGGTCAAGAAGAAACGGACCATCCGGCTTGATGACAAGGAGGCTTCCAAAGAAGAATGCCAAGAGCAAGGTCAGGAAGAGCCGGATGCGACCCAGAGAGGAGAAGCAAAAGCCGGTTGTGTCTCCAACTTTTTTGTTCTGTGTAGAGGCTTGCCTCTTAGTAGGGACTTCGATGACCCCCCTGCAGCCCCTACAGGCATTTCACTCCCTACGAACTTGTATGCAGCCTTCGTCTGGAGTCCAGGTGCTTTACATCAGCCCATTTGGGTACTAAAGTCCAGATAGTGTGCAAGCAAAAGGATTGACCTAAGCAGAGTTGGTTAGAGCACGATACAGAGCACCAATATGCAGATAGGCACTAACGGGATCGATGTAGCATTCTATAGAGCGCGTAGGAATCCTGCAACAAATTGGCGTGTCACATTCTGGTCGCGCGTAGCACAGGCATAGGGCGCGTGTGGAGGTCTCTCCAAAGAGGTGGCTCGTTTTACGTTGTGCTGGGTGCCCTGCTAGTAGGTATGCTGAGCAAGTTTTGGAAGTTTCAGTTCTGAGAGGATCTGTGAGTGCCTTTGCCTTGCAGCCGCGCATCATAAACCGGATAGCTTGCCCACGCCCCGTACTCAATGATTTAGCATGGTTGATAAGTATAGTTGAACCTAGCAAGCTGCAAGAGCATTTCTCTTCCTGAGTCGAGGCGTACTGAGCTCCCTGGGTCGGTTGGTAATCCTAAGTCACAAACACAATTCGAAACCTCGGTTGGCATGGAGGCACCGCTTCCAGCAGACCTTCAGCAATCCCGGATGCAGCTGGCAATGAATTGGGCTGTGACCGCTGGGCAGTGAATCAAAAGGAGCTCTCCATGATGCCTCAGGTTACATAGGGACAATGTGAGCGGAGGATTATGAAGGCATTTCAGCGTTGTCATCCGTGGCAAGCATGGCCATCGCTCCAAGAAGAAACATGAAGTCGAAGCTGCAGGGGGCAAGTAGGAAAGCATTTCCTTCTCGTGTCGTATTGTTGTGCAACGTCAGCTATTGAAAGTAGTGGTTCCACGTAAGCAGACAAGCTTGGGCATTCAAGGGAACAAAGTCGGCATCAGTGTGCTGGGACTGGCCGATTGTTTCTCAGGCTCCCAATGTGTTCTACTACACTTTGCTCAAGTCGGCAAAGCGCCAGCTGAAGGCAGTTTCAAGAATGGATCCTCCTAATCAGTATATCGCAGGCCCTGGCTGTCAACCACAATGAGTTGCAAACTGCATGAGAGAGTGATGATCCAAGCAGAAACCCAGTTTCTTGGTCAGAAGATGCCGCATTCCTTTAATCTTCTAACAATCCCAACTACATCCCTTTGACAAGAGCCATCCCAGGGCCAATCCACTCTATACCATACACTCGCAACTTCCCGTGTTTCCTGCCGAACCCATCAAGAAAACTGCCTTTCGTTTGCAATGCTTGCGCTTGCCGACTTCGTCTCAAAGGGCGGGCGCTGGAGCCGTGAGATCGCCGTCCCCCATCTCACCAAGATTAGTTCAGTTTAGTTTAGAGTATGTGGATCCAGCCGGGTATGTTGGGCCTGGGATTTGGGGCGGAAGTCTAGGAGCGTGGGCTACTTACAGGATGCAGCTAGGCCTTCTCAAAGGCTTTCGGAACGTTCTCAAAATGCTGGGGAGTGCGCAGCGGTTGACGCTAGTCATTCACGACAGCTATTTTGTAGTACCGACTGCAAGAACAGTAGCATGGGCAAGGACAGAGTAATCTAACCCTATATGATCCCTGTAGTTTCCATTTTCTTTTCCATGATCCCACTATAGCCCCAACATATACCCTATAATCCCAATATAATCCACTAACATATACGCTACAATCCCTATATAACCCATTAATATGTACCCTATAATGCTTATATCACCCATTAATATATTGTAGCAGTTGCATCCAGGTGCAGATGCACATCTCAATGTGGTAGCCCAGGTCTTGAAAGCAAGGAAGGCATAGGAGAGCGACACGTACTGGACTTCGAAGCTTGGTAATGTAATCCTGATATAATTGGCCCGAATATAGCCCCATTTAGCCCTAATATAACCCCATGTTACCCTAATATTACCCAAATATGTTCTCAGAAGGCAGGTTTGTGGCCAGTTTCAACAGGGAAGCAGCACAGCGCCGTTCCCGAGAATGGAAGTTGAGACCTCTCAGTTCTGTGATGGCATGGAATTGTCAAGGCATACCGGGTATTTCCGTTCTCGGTTCCTACAAATAGGAGGCCTCACACTTTGGCCCTGCAATCCAGGCAATGCGCGCCCTTTGTGGAACAAGGCGCTTCTGGAGCGGCCTTGTCAAGCTTGCTCTAGCATTCGGCGCCCCGGCTGGGAGGGATATGAAAAGGCTTGCGTAAAGTACCCAAGACCTTGGGAAGTATAGGAGTTAAGCATGATAAGGCCATGTAAGGTTGTTAATATCAACCAGAGGGTTGGGGTTTAGAGTTGAAAGGTTCCGTGGAGTTGACAGTAAATTAAAGTTGTTTGTTGACAGTTTTCAGGGCATAGGGCTATGTATAATACGTGTTGGGAAGTATAAAGCTGAATTAGGTGAATGGGTTTGAGAGCTGCTGGTGCTGCAGACCTTCCCATGAGCTGACCATTCAAAGGAAGACAATGTACCTCTAGAGTCTAGAGGCTGTAAACCTAAACCCTAAACCCTAAAACCCTAAACCCTCAACAGCTTCATAGCTTCATGTGGCCTGCAACGAGCCTTCATCCCCTCTCATTGGCCATGAACAGTCTTCAATGGTGTTGTTTTATGGGGGTCCTCCTGGTAGCCCTACCCGCTTCCCCTTGCTGTTTTCCATCCAGAATATTACCACCTTAGACCCAGATGTCAAAATGCTGTGGGCTTCATCCCTGGTTCCCACGCATATGGACTTTGCCTCAAGCAGGCTGACGCACATGGTTCTAAACAAGGAAGTACAGTTTTGAGAGTCTCCAGATGGGGTTCGAAAGGAGAGCCATGATGCAGTCCAAACACCCCGAAGCTCCGATGGATTCAGGATTATCCAAGTGGCTGCGCTCTTTGCTGTCTCCACCTCAGTGTTTGTTTTAAGGTGCATATGTTTGCAAGTAAGACGTGTGGATTTCAGCCTTGGGTTTCAGGTGTATTTGTTTCAGGGCTGGGGGTTGAGGGAGATGGATTGGCATTTGACATCGGGGCTGAGAGGTTTTTGGGGATAGCTCGGATGCGAAGTGAGGTCTGCAGTTAGGAGCGAGAGTTCTTCGTGCACACTGGTTACCATGACGGCAGAAAAAACTCATGCGATTCGAGACAATTTGAACCATAAAGTACCCAGTTCAATATCTAGTCAGGCGCCATTTCTGGTGGCACCGGGGCATGTTCGTCATGCTGCGGGCTTCGACCATGGTCGGCCGGCTTGTTTGACGTGTAAATCAGGTAGAAGGATTAGGTCTTGGTGTTGATTTGAGATTCGTAGAGCCGTCATGCTGACATGTTCCGGACAAGTGACCGTACCAGCGACCACACATAAGCTTCAGCAAACAAGCAAAACAAGGACCGCTTAAGACCAAACTGATTCCACCATCAATGTACCAGGCAATATGTCCGGAAGCTTGTATCTGTCCCATAGTGCATCGCTGCACTTCAGAAAATCTGTCTGCCGCAGAAGTCAGGCTTTAGCATACCTGATGCCCCAATATTTTGGTACTTGGAAGTTGGACCCTTGAGGTTTCATAACGTTGCCAAGGCCACGGGCTGTCAGGCCTTTCTCACGTGAAGCTTGTGTCAAAGACTCCGGATGTCAGACATCCCATGACTTCTGATGTAGCATCCTGAGTCCAAGCAGAGTTTCTCAGCGTTTGTTGGAAGTTGGAAGAGATCTGCTTTAAGTAAGAACAAGTGAAGACCAACAGATAAACCCTAAACCCCTAAAGCCTAAACCCTAAACCCTTGTAAAACGCAAAGCCAGGTGAATCTTCGTCGTGTCTTTGGGCAGCGTCAGGAGTATCACATCGTGATGCACGAGCACGAAGAGCTTGGAGAGGATCAAGCTTAACCGGGAATGTGTAAGATAAGGTTTAGGGTTTAGGGTTTAGCGCCAGCTTGCTTCGATTGCTTGTTGCTTTACACAAAAGAGGTAAGTCAAAGTCCGTAGGCCTGTGAGCCTTCAAGACTACACTTCCAATCCATATGTGGTCTCTGCTGTAAGGTCCCTAGAGGAAGCGTTGCCAGAATACGGTTTGCCTGGAATACAGTCATTTGTTCCCAATGCTTCAAAAGTTTGCGAAGGTTTCCTTGCACTTTCTAGGACCTTGTGCGGGGAAATCCAGCTGCCTCATGCTCCACACTCCGGCTACGTGAGAAGTGATTGTTCAGGCAGTAGGGGCAGTCCTCCTCTCCAGATTAGCATGTTGCTGCCCTCTAGCCGTAAACGCAACTTCTACATACACCTGGTCCCCTCTATCCTGAATTGAAAGAAGCAGGCGGACGTAGCCTTCGGCAGGATTCGCAAATGTCTTACTGCATGAACCTTACTTGGTTCTATTATCCTCCAAGAAATTTTGTCCGCTCCAGACTACATATAGTACCTCCCGGCTTTCCTGGACCCTGAAACCTGGGAGGAGTATGCAGTCTGGTGGCCGGAAAGGACCTCACATCCACAGTCTCCTGAGAGGCTTTGGATCTTGGTTCCAGGCCTGGACCAGATCTGTACAGGTTGAGATGCGCCCCTCACAGATGGCCCCCTAAGCCTGCATGTTGGTAATTTAGCCTTTGAACGTTCCCACAGTAAGGGGCCCCTTTTTGGGGATCCCTCTGATGATGATTTTGGCTGTGTGTCGGCCCTAAAAAACACATGGATGGTTGTGTTGCTGTCATTTCACGGGCTGGCTGTTGTCATTGCCAGGCGACCATTGCTTTTCTCCGCATGCGCGCTTGGAGTTTAAGGTTTCACGGCTGATGCCTCACTAAGGCGACTCTTGGGGCCTACGATTTACGCGCAGGTGGTTAGTCAAGGGGCAACGGCGCCCCTCATCCCTTTCAAGCTCAACAACGGCTCCGGTATTCTCCATTTGTGTATTCTTACGTACACCCAGTCAGAATCAGTCAGTCTTGTGTCGGACAGGCCATTGATTTTCCTCGCTGGCTTGAATCTTGAAGCCCATTGATCAACGGTCACTGTGGAGTACTCCGTAAAAGTCAGCTGCTATTTGCAGATCACAGGTTTACGCCCCAGCAAGACAGATTAATAAAGTCGACGGTGCTGTCCTTGTGGTCATTGCTAGGTATGAAGGGAACGTTTCTCAAGCAAAGTCGGTTTCTTGACAGCTGCACGAACGAGGATCGAACATGAGGGCACGTGCTGAGGCCCCAACTAGCAAAAATTGATCTCAACCCCACCCCAAATTAGGGTCTTCGGGTTTAGCTGAGACTGAAGCAGCATGGCGGTCGCAGCAGGCGGAATGAGCGACGGGGATTCTGTTGCCGGCTACTTTGATGAGCTTCTGCGCAGCATCTTGCCAGCACCGTTCCCTCCCCCCAAATACCATGACGCCAAACAAGAGTTCAACCGGTGACTATAACGGTTATATAGGGATAGTGGACTGAAAATGGAAACTACTACACTATGATGGGGGTTTTATAGGAATTAGAAAAGAAAATGGAAACTAAAGGGCAACTCCATGTGTTAACAATGTAAGGCTACTATTGGGACTTCAGATTTGCTGATTCTGTGAGCTTTGCGAGATCCATCCATGCAATTCACAGGAACTGTGCATAAAGCCCTGAACCAAAGCAACATAAAAACCTGACCCCAAAACTCAACCCAGCTTAACAAGGCAACGTGATTGACAAGTCCAAAGAGGACTGGTGTCTCTTCCACAATGCTGGCACAGGCCGGGAGCCGGTGCTTCGCGGAATGGACTTCTAGGGGAGACCCTTGGGGGGTAACAGGCGGGTTGTGTAGAGGATAATGGAAAGGAAATGGAAAGTACTTTTTAGGGTTTAGGGTTTAGGTTTAAGAGTATAGGTAAACAACCCGCTTGGCGCTAAGGCTGGTCTCGGCTGCTTCATGGTGTGTTGTTGTTGGGAATATTTCGGCATGTCTATTTCTGGCGAAGGGGCTGTTCAATAAGGATGGGAGTGCAGGGTTGTGACGCTTGGGTTGCGTCTAGGGACTGAACCTAACGGGATGCAACATCAGACATCGCGGTCATGATGGCGGCGACAACTCTTCTTGGCACAATCCACGAACGCAAAAAAAAAGCACCTGCGCATGCAGGATGCCATACAAGCAAAGCATACCCAACAACAAACATGTAGTCAACAAATTGAAGCAGCCAAAAAGACCCAACACGCTTATGAGCAAAAGTAAAGACCAAATTGATGCATCCTAATCTTGAGTAGTCCCGTGCGAGCTGGGCATCCTAAAAGTTGAGCTCTGTGTGCAGTGAGGCTCTACAGCTCCACCACCCGGAAGCCTTGCAACCTTCAGAGTCAGACCAGACAGCTTTGTCAGAGTCCTCGAGTAATTTGTCAACTCTTGGGAACCTACCTAGTCTGTTCACTACTTTACCTTTCAACCCTAAACACTGAACTCTCAACCCTAAACCGCAGGTCGACAGGAGAAGCAAAGAGCTTCTCCTGGGCCTCGCAGACATTTTAGAATTATTTTCTGCAAGGGGTCTTTCCTGCAGAGCTTCTGCCTTGAAACCCCCGTGTTCGTCACAAAGTCCTACCGTACCTTGCATTTGCGATGAAAACAGAAAATGGCAACTCCTGTTCAAGAATAGCTTCCATTTTCTTTTCTGTGAGTGGGAGCCGTGATATGAAGATCTTCTGTGCTTCCTCCTCAAACCTTCAACCTTACAACCCATACCCTAAATCCTACTCACTAAATCCCATGACAAGAACAAACACCACCCTGAGCACTAAAATGCCACCACGTCGCTTTGACAGGTGGAGCAGAATGGCGAAAGCAGACCTATGCAGGCCTCTCAGATCCGCATCGTGGCTCAAAGAAGAAAAACAGGTCAGTTTAGGGCTCGGGGCTGAGATTTCTGGTTTAGGGTAACTGAGGCATTGTGATGGCAACATAATACTTGTAGGATTTGAGTTCTGCCCTTACCTTGTCGGTTCTAGAGTTCTACCCAGAGCTTGAATCGATTGGCCTTTCTGCGCTGAGGGCGTTCCTCCTCGACTACCTCAAGCACTTGGGGGCCTACCACCAAGGTGGCAGCGCAAAACGACGATGTCGGTATAGCTTCTCGCGCTTGTTTATGTAGGCTCCTACTGGAGACTGTTGCTGCAGCTATCAATCGGCATGGTTGCTTTGGCTTGTAAGGCAGGACTTGTTACTGCTCTGGCTAGCACTTATTCTGCTGCTGGTGCTTTTGCTGCAGCTGCTATTCCTATTGCGCTTCCTTAGAACGATGACTGGTTGCGGGGCTGCTTTCGATTTTGTGTGTAATCCAGCCGGGGCGTGATTTGAGGTGAGGTTGTCGTTCTGGGCTTCTCTGTCGGCGGCATGTTGACCCTTGCCACTGCCGACAAGATATTCAACGCGACTCACCACGTCAAGCTGGATCAGGCAGGTGCCAGACTCGTTTAGCGGCGGTGTGGGCGAATGCCTCACAAAGCAGCGATTCCTTGTTGGGGTTCCAGCTTGCGTGGGCAGCAAACCTAAGAATGCGAGATTATAGGGAGCATGAAGGGCAAAAGACCAGGTTGAGAATTTGATCGTTCGGCTTCAACCACTCCCCGTGGCCTCACCAGGACGTTCCTTTCTGGAAACCGCGCCAGATTATCTTGTCCTACTTGGCTTGAACAGCGCAAGGATTGTCTGTATTGAATCTGCAAAGAACGTCACGTAGCCGCGTCAAGAAGAATCATAGGCAATAGGCATCAATCCTTAGTGGACCTGTATTAGCCGCCGCTAGTTACATCCAAAACAAGTGTAAGTGTTTGAATGATGTTCAAGACATGCTGTAGAACATAACCTCCAGATGCCGCTAAGTATGTTTGACGCGGTTCACAGGACGTGAGGAGTCTGAAATTGTAGCCTGCACCGAGAGTTTGACTAAGAAGGTGCTGGGAATCTCTTTCTTTTGCTCGCTATCTCTACCTCTATCTCTCTCTTTTTCATCACCCTTTACCTCGTAGGGTCTGCCGGATACTCTCGCGTAAGGGTTTACTGTAGGGTTTCACTAACGTCTATTGCCTTCAACAGAGGTAAAGGGCCGCCCCAATAAACCGGACAACAAACGATGGAAAAAGGATTCATGTTGAGGAGCACGTTAAGAAGTAACGCCCTCAGGCTGATCATGAGAAAACCCCCCAGCCTCAACTCCCCAGTCCTAAGCCCCAAAACCCAACCCCTCCACTCTTGACCTGAGGCTTGGGAATCCTTCCCAAAGTCCCATACCCAACATGCCCTACATGCTCAACCCCAAAGTGCATGACCGGATGTCCATGGGGTAGGCAGCTGTGCGGACACCGACTCTTCTTACCGGGCGTTGGCATTCCAAGCAGTGGGGCAGTACCCAGAAGGACAACAGGGCTGCTTTTCAAAACTTGAACGCTGACGATGTTGCTCGTGAATGTTTATGATGGAACTAGTACCAGGAGTAATAGTACTCGTGCTAGTACTAGTAGTTGTTGTTGTGATGGTGGTAGGAAGACTGGAGCGTTTGGCCAGTCCGCGCTAAAAAATGTGGTGGTGGTAGCAGTAGGAGGAGGCGGAGGAGCAGCAGCAGCAGCAGCAGCAGCAGCAGTAGGCGCAGCAACACCAGCAACTGAAACGAATACAGCTGATGATAAGTGTGAAGACGAACTCTAGCAAAGCTGTTGATTCCTTAAATAAGGCATTAATAAGCCCAAATAAGGCCAAATAAGCTCTTAATCAGCCTTAATAATGGAATAGGCGTCCCAACGCCCCCCTCCCCAACACGCCCCCAAGTCCCTATGATGTTGATAGCAATGGCACCCGACCAAGCCAGAAGAGCAAACATCTTACCCTGAAACCATTAGTGGTCAGATTCTGCACTTGGGTAGTTCCCGTGGAAAGGTTCAGAAGGACCGCCCGGCACCAAAATTTTTCCTTGGGATAACAGGTGCTAATTTTGTTTGAGTGGTCAACAAAGGAGCTCTTAACATGAGCATCTTCTTTGTGCAGCAACGGGATCCTAATCTGGCAGACCTTAACCCCACACCCTACCCTCAATCCTCAACCCCTAAACCCTAAACCCAAAAGTTAGAGGAGGCTCGGTGCGACGGCGCCCAGCAACAGAGCGGAGAGCTTGCCCGCCGCCCTGAGATGCCACAATGCCGGCTGAGAAGCTCCACTGAATAGAGTTTAGCTTTTAGGGTTTGGGGTGTATGTTTTCCCAGCAGGTTCAGAGTTTGATCACATTTTCGGGACTGGGGATTTAAGGCTTATCGGGCTAAGTATGCCCGGCATGTAGCTCAGATGGGTTGGAGTACAAATTCTATCAAATTCTTAGGGCTCAGATGGTTGGAGTACAAATTCTATCAAATTCTTAGGCGGCCTGATGCAGGACAGAAATTCTCTTCGCAGAGTGACTAATTATTCAGTAGTCCTGGTTGCGGGACAGCGTGCTTATCTCAAGTTTGCACCTGCTCCTGTTGCCATTCCTGTTCCCTAAGTTTTTTTTGCAAACGCAGGGTTCGTGTCTGTGCACAGCCCGGACCACTTGCGGAACACCTTCGAAGCGATGACTACATGGTCCTGGTTTGCTCGCTGCTTGGTTGCGCTGCATGCAGAAGGGGTGTCTGTGTGTACTGTTTTGGTGGGTGTAGCCGGGCTTTGCTTTGGATCCAAGGTGTTCAGGCACGAGCGGTGTCCTTTGGGTAGTATACTTCAGGACAAACCCAGCATCTCATGATTATGATCCCTTTCCTGGGTTTTGTGAGAACTGGAGACCGTGCTTTGTGTGCGAAGCTTAGTCCTGGTATCAGATAACGAAAGCCCATGCAGTCTGGGTGCAGTTCTATAATCCCAAAGTCCCAGGAAGGTGCCCGAAATAGCCTGCCATGTTCACATCACCACAATCAATATCTGAACTCTGAGTTGAACGCGTCAATCCGATCCACATAACAATGTGCTTGCAGACGGGGCAAGTGCAACCTTGAAGGTTAAGCCTCACAAGAAATGGGGTTTCTATGGACAGGGGGCCACAAGATGGAGCCCCAAATACAAATGGGAACCCCAACAACGGGACCTTTGACCTTATTAGGCACCCTTCTCCCGCTTAGCCTGGGCATACTGCCAGCCGCCAGATTGATCACTTTGTCATTCTTGTTTGTATGATTATGACCATTGTTGTTATGCAGTTCTTATTAGTTTCAGTATTATCGGTACCATCACTTACTGCTCATGGCCTTGGACTGACCCTAATGAGGCTCTTTGAAGGGGTAGTCACTGAAGCGGACATAGCTTTGCCAACTGCAATAAACCCTCAACCTGCCGAGATGTAGCTTGGGTACTGCCCCCACTCAGTAACAGCTGAAAAGGATTTATAATATAGCTATATATAAATATTATTCCGACCCCTCATATAGACTGCTACAGGGTGGGAGCAGTACCCAAGATGTACTGCATGTTGAAGCCCTCTGGGTATCAGTTGACTTGATGGAGGATGCAGCCTCTGTAAGGTCCAACGGGTAACCTGCTTCCGACCAAGGAAACTCTTAAGCAAGCGTTCTGAGTTCTGGCTCGTGGGAGGCTTGGACATTCCTCTCGCACTCCACTTCTGGGCCTCGCCCTCAGGAGTTCCTTGCAACTGCTGCTGGTGCGACGAAGCACAAGGAAGAAGCATCCTCATTCTACGTACGCAGGAATTGCAACCATTTAGCAGGGCAGCTCCAGATCCCCTGAATCCCCACATGAGAGAGATTGCTGTCTTACAATGCGTTTTGGCGGGACAGGTATCACCCTGTCCTCACACCGCAGTGCGCGCATAGCATTTTACATTTATTGCTATGTCCTCTGATCATAGGCGAGGGCTGTGGGCAACAGCGCTAACAGGTGGGAGAAGCGGGATAGGTACCAAGGCGGGGATGAAGCCAACGCTTGCTGATTTTGAGTCTGAAAAGCTTGTCTGCTACTGGTACGGCTTTGGCTTCAACGACCAGTACAGAAATCTCACTGGAATGGTCAACGTTACTGCTGCTGCCTTGGTCTGTCCAGGCAGTGAACTTGCGAAACCGCCTTATCTTCAAATGTCCGGAAGGCACGCCAGTACAATGAGCCTCCTATGGCTTGCCTTCTCTGACTGGCCTCGGGCTCTGTCGAAAATGTTGATTTATGCGGCATGCGGCGGAGGATAAGAATTAGGACAGAGATATCATGCAAAAGAGGTGTTTGGGTTGTGGGTCGCATTGTATCGGGCTAGGATTCTTACTAGGATGGGCTGCGTACATGGGACCACCAGTAAGCATGAGATTCCCTCACTTGGTTGGTGCCCGTACTGCCGCTGAAGCATTTCCCTTGCATATCTCGTCCCACATATAGTCTTACTATGGCATGTAAGCACGGCATCAGCATAGCACAATCCTTGCACACATTGGGGTACCACTGCTCATGTAATTTGTGCGACTTAGGCCGCCTGGGTATGGAAGGCTGAGTCCACAAAGCTAGGGATTGCCTTCTTTTTGGACAGCGTGCCGTGATGAACCCTCAAGATTCAAGGAGCTCAGGATGCATTGGTCAAATCTGCAGAACAGCTCCTGTTGTTGCCACCCTGTGTAGGCGGTTCGGACAGTATCTACTCTCCGTTGAAGCAGAGAACGGCTTATGGGTTTAACGTTGGGGGGGGTAGAGAGTCATTGTTACAACCTCGGCAATAGCTCCTACTGCCACGACCATGAAGTTTGGGGAGCTCTGCATTCTTTTTGCCCTTACAACCCAGGGAAAGTAGGCGAACCGTTTAGCCACAATTGGCGACCCCCTCCCCGAATGACAGATGTTCTTCATGAACTACCCAAAGACATCCAAGGTGCTGTCGTACCCCTGATTTTGAAACCCTAGACCCCAATCATTTAACTCCAAGCTCAATTGTGATTTCTCTGGGGGAAGGCCGGCTTCTGCCCTGGCCACCTACTTGGTCCTACATCCGACACCTCACTGAAGTTGCCTGGGCTCAGAATCAGGCGGGTGGAGCTAAAGACTATCAGCAAGGCATTTGTGCTGTGCTAGAACCTATGCTCTAGCAGCTACTGGTGTGCCCGCAGCGTACCTGCAAGGGCAGAAGACGCTTTTCCTCAGATATAGGTCGCTCGTTTGATGTGGTAGGTATACTTCTCCGGGGGTGTCTTCGTGGGGCTTGACTTGTGTGGCGTCTGCGGACAGCCGTCTGTGCATCGGAGCACTGTTGCTCTGAGACACAGCTTTGTGGCATTCTTCTGTAAGTCCCAAAGGCATGTAGGCAAGCATGCGTCTCAGCGCAGGAAAGGCTCCTAACGAAGTAATCGATTGCGTTCTGCCCGCTATCGACCTCAGCTCGACAGATTAGGCAGCTGACCTGGAAAGTTTCAAAGCATAGTTGGTATAACAGCAAGGAACCCGGAATAGAAGTTCCCGAAGAAATTTAGAGCTCAACATAGATGTCTCTGCTGCAGGCGCTCAAGAAGCAAACCCTTGGGGGCGCAGATTGTGAAGAGTACGTGCAAGTGCCTTTTGTGGCTCGCCCTGATATTGGGGAGGAAGGGGGCTTTCTGAAGACTGGGCATTGGGGCAAGCAGGAAACCTTTCTGAAGCATCACAGTAATGTGGAGAGATTCTCATGTGAAGCACCACCATTTGGGTTCAGAATCTTTCTAATCAACGGACATCCTGTTCCTGTTTGTGAAGTAGGAGGTTGACACGTGCATTCTCTTTATATGCCTGCGTCCTCTAGTTCATCCAGGAAAAAGGATTTGGTTGCAGTCTTGAGGCCTTCCTTGGTATCCCTGAAAATGATAATTCCATTGTAGAGGAGGTAACTAATAAGTACAAACACCAGACTTTTCTGCATGGTCATCCGGTCATTGGCCAGACTCGAATGAGAAGAGGCCCCGTAATTGTCTCGTGAGCTCAGTGGTACTTTGGGCCGCGGTTTTCGCGTCTGATCTAACAAGTCGGTAATTCAAACTGGAGGAGAGCAACCAGGACCGTGCGCGACGTATGTCGCAAATCAGGTTCTAGATGCAGAAGCTTAGCAGGCAAAATCTACCCTTGATCAACAGTACTGTTGAGTTGAAACTAAACATATGAAAATATCCTGCATACCTAGTTGCAACAGCTCCCAAGGCCTGGGTACATCTTGTACTGCATGTTTCATTTTTGCAGCAACAGTAGTGCTTCTTGAAACGGAGGAGCACTTTGATCGAGACTTTTCGCTTCATCTTCGAGCTCCGCTTCCTGCCGGGGAAGTCTTGCGAATCCAAAACCCCGAGGATCCTAAACACACTGCGTAGAATAACCAATGGGGTGTTGGGATTTTGGGTTTTTGGGTTTAGGGATTAGGGTTTTGGGATTTGATGAGAAAAATTGATGTTTATCTGATATTTTGGTATCTTTACTTCTTGTTAAGGGTCTACAGTTACTCAAGGTGAGCCCCCAACCCTTAACCTTGTTGCCAATCCAAAATTACGACGCAGAACATCCATACCCCAAAGAGAGGACAAGCATGTCCTTTGTTTCAGGGCATCAGTTGTGGCAGGGATTCTTTCTAAATATTCTGGCTGGCTGGCTGCTGCTAGCTGTTGTGACAACGAGGAGTGCACAGGACTGGGGTGGGGGTTGAGTGGAAAGAGTGGGGCACCCGTGATTCTATATCACAGAAAATCGGGTGGGGGGTGTGGGGGTGTGTGGGGAGGAGAGGGAGGGCCATGAACGCTGGTGCTTATACACTTTTCCAGACCCGCTTGACTTGTGGAATGCGATGAACTCGCAAACCTGGGAGGACCCTGTGGTGGACAGGTCAACCTTGGACCCCACTTGAGCCTTAGATAGAAATTAAGTGTCCTAGGGGATGATCTATAGGGATATATAGGGTTATATAGGCATCATTTAGGGCCTAGAGTTTAGGATAACAGAGACTCAAATGGAAGAGAAGATGGAGGATTAAAACAAAACTGGGAGTGTACAGGGGTTTGAACGGATTGTTTTTAGGAAGTGGGTTGTAAGAGCATGGTAGCTATTTGGGTGGTTGCCAAAATTATGGTCCCGTTTTGGGTACCCTAAGTAGTAGGTGCCGTATTATAACAGGGATCCAAAAAGGGCCCATAATTTTGACAACCACCCATTTAGGCACTTCGAACATGAGCGGCTGCACTATATTCGGCCCCAAAAGGACCATCATCTATGTAGCGGTATTTCGGGGTACGGCGAGCAGAGGGTTCAGAGTCTATCATGCGTGTAGAGCGGAGCGGGTGAGATCCTTAATCCTAATTGGCTTAGGGTTTAGGGTTTGGGAGGGTTTTGCATTGGAGCTTTCTGACTATAGTGGGGTTCCCTGCCTACTTGTTTATTCAGGTCTCCAAGCCATATTTGTGAACACCATAGATCCCATAGCTGCAGCCCTGAAGAAGCCCTTGAACTTCTGAAGCATCTCGGAACTTCACCCAAGGAATCTGCAAACTCCTTGAAGGCGGCCCAGACATGCGAGGACCCAGAACTAAGGACTCCTAAAACCGTAAGGTCTATAGTCGTAATAACGATAAGAGCAGGAGTCATAGGCCAAAAAAAATCAGAATATGGGGCAACCTTGAAGTTTGCCAGGGCGCCGTTAATTCAAAGCAGAGCTAGCATAAGCCGGAACAGTACCTGAGCCCTTGATATGGTGGTTTCTATGCGGTTCATATTGAGACCTCCCCCCATTTCTGGAACCCCCTAGATCGCTGCAGAGTCTCAACAATACAATCTCATTGATCTGGTTCAGGCCCGGCCCTGTCTGTGCATGCCGTCAAAGTATCCATGAAATGTTAGCAGGCTCATGTTACGAAATCCGGCTCTGCCGATCTAGCCGTTGCCACACCCCCTAAGTCTTTGCCTCTGTGAAACGCCTGCAGAATGAGGCCTTCAGAGGTGTGACATCTGGTGGATTCGTGAAGGGGGCCACGTCATGTGTTCCCTGGCTAATTTTGTTTGTCATGAGCAGGATGTACGCATGATCGTTGCTGCGGGCGCAGACAAAGTCCTTTCCGCTGGTACCAGATGTTTTCTGCAATCCTCCAAAGGGCTTGCTACAGCCTGAACCCTTCACTTGCGCGTTCCGCTAAGAGATGCGTGCTGGTCCTATTACGAAGTTATGTTGGTTGCCACTCAACCTGGCTCTCCCCCTACTAGTGCTGCTCTGGCTACTGCTTCAGCTGTTGGAGGCATTGGATTTGGTAATTTCCCAAAATACGGTTTCCAGTTAGCTTACGGTCTCAATATCAGCGGGATTAAACTGCAGATGAAGATTTGTTCTCGAATTTCCTTTGCGGCAAAGCTTCCTATCAAAGTGCGCATGGCGCAACGGAATCATGTCTACCCACTGCCTTATCTCAAGGTCCTGCCAAACAATGATCTTGGGGTGACACAAGCATGGCTTAGTTCAAGGGCAGTTCCCTGCTCGTCCTTTCATGTCCAGGACTTTCCACCCCTGGATCAGCCATCAACACTTCCTGATACTGAAACGCGCACACTTCCAAGTCAAAGTAAGGTCCCTGATCAAGGAGGGGTCTACTTCAGGCGAGTTTTTTCAGCGGGCGGTGTTTTTGTGTTTGGGGAGTTGTCAAATAACAGTTTACTTCCAGCCGTGATAGTTCATCGACAGGTGCAACTCTGCCTTGGCATCATTCCACCTCGTGGCTGATGTGGGACTAGGGTTTAGGGTTTAACGACCCATGTCTATTATAGTCCTGCTCCTGCTTCTCTTGTATAATTGGTTATCATTGTGGTTCAGTGTACCTTGAAAAGACCTTCAGGCGTTTACCTTACCCACACGAAATTCCTAAACCCAGCTAAACCTGCAAGACAGGACAAAGAAGTTAGGCTCAGTCTCAGCATCTCATTTCCCAACCCCAAAAAAGACCTTACGGGTCTAAGGACCCAAGTCTTGTGCTTATTTGTGGTTCTAGGTACCAAATGATTACAGCAAATTCAAGAGCTGTTCGTAACAGAACGCCTCATGTTCCCATGTTTGGAGCGCAGGCAGGAGAGAGGCTTCAAAATCATCAGTAGAAGAAAGTTACAAAAATTGTGAGCGAATACAGGGATTCAGCTTTGATAGACTCGCATATCCAGATACGTGTACCTACCCTAAACCCTAAACCGCGTACTTTGTAGCTTGTCAGGTACACCTGAGCAATGGAGGTTTCGAAAGGTTTCGGGTTTCGGGTTAAGTAGGAATCCATAATTTGCGGACATTCCAAAAAGAAGCGTTAAACACGTCACCCTAGCCGTGAACAACAACCACAAAATCCCACTGAGCATTACTTGTAGGCAACCAGAACTATTTGTAGACTGCCATGAATCAAGGGTTCCTGGGTTGTACCCCTGAGGTCGTACCCCTAAAATACTTCCCCATTATGGCCCAAACATAGCCTTGCCTGAGCAAATCTAGTGAGTTCCTTAAACGGATCCCCAAACCCAGGGGTACAACCCTAAGCCTGAAACCCTTGAATACAGCCATATGGAAACTGGAAATATGTAGGGGGCCTATCGATAATGGAAACTACCATAATGAATCCTATAGAACCCAATTTCATTTTCCATGTGATTTTCCATTCTGGCCCCTACACTAATACTATTATACTACTTTACCATTATAACATATGTATATTTATTGAACCCTAACCCAAGTTTTGAGGGAAACCCCGAGGTTTCGGCGCCAGCCCTCAACTTGCGCGGCGCTTGCGCAAGTGGGTTGAGCATCGGCCGCAGCCCGCCTGAGCTCTTATACGCGGCGCTTGCGCAAGTGGGTTGAGCATCGGCCGCAGCCCGCCTGAGCTCTTATAGTCCCCTCTTTAGGTAGATAGGATATGGGGTAGATGGGGATCTTATTATGGGTTTTGGGTTTGGGTATATGGGGATCTTCTTATATTATACCCAAGGCCATATTCCATCTACTTAAGGGGGACTATACATGGAAGGCTATCTGGACCGGCCGTCTCTTTAAATGGGTCCCTGTTTCTTTGGGCGACATAGATAAAGGCCCTCATCAAATCCTGTTTGTAGGGTAAGACATAGGGGATCCTTACGTTGAGAAATGTACGGGCTCTGTCCGGTGAGATAAGGGACAGATAAAGAGACTGCCAACCAGATGAACCTAGGGTTTCTCAAAATCGTGATGCAATTGTGGGCCCTGAAGATGGCAAGATGTTCAGAGATTTGGGGGATCCGTCTTGAAGATTTTGCAGGGATGTTTTTGAGAAACTCCCAGTTGCAGAAATGGGGGATCAAGTATGCCAAATATTACCGTTTGCACTGTGAGCGCTGCTTTTTGGCTAGCTGCCCGTTCAAAGTGTAGTGGCTTCCATGATCCCTTACATTCGTCGACCCCCAAACATCCCCAAACCAAGCAAGGCTTGTCGAGTAGATCCAAGGTCCAAGGTCCCCAATTAGAGAAGATCATCGGCGGGATCCTTGAGGATTCGCTTTGGCCCTCCCTTGAAAAGGAGCCCCTCGCGTTTCTTCTCTGCTTGGGGCCTTGGGGATCTTCCTCAGTTTGGGCTTAGGCTTTGGCATGATATGGCATGAGCTAAAGGATCAGGATTTAGGGCTTTCGGCTTCGTGCTTGTTGGATGTTGGGATTTTGCGAGTGGGTTCCTGGGCCGCAATCAGAATTCAAGTCTTCATAGTACCGACAGGACTTCGACGATGAAAAGAAGTCCCAAGTGCCCAATAAGATCTACTCTCCTGGCAGCTGCATTTAAACGCGCTGCCTTGGTAAACTAGGAATTCCCAAAGCATGCAACAGAGTTGCAGGAATTTCTTCTAGAAACTCTTTCCTCCGGTCCTCTCGGTGGCATTGCAGCCTGCACATCTTGAATGTAAATATGTCATCCGGAAATCCCAAACATTCTGTAGGTTGGGACTTAGGGACGTGATCCCCGGGGACAGCACAAGGAAGGATGCTGCGGAGACGGACTTGTACAAAATTGGCCGGGCATTTAAAGCGGCCAGACGGCTTGCCCTTGATGGAGTTTGAGCCCTGTGCAGCTTCGAAAGCAGGATCATACACATTGCTTCGCAAGTCTACTGTCCAAACAGGCTTTTGTGCCCCATAGACTGCAGGGTGGGTTTGGGCTTTGGTAAGCATGAGCAGCTGGCCTTTGATTGTTGTTGTTCTTGTTGTTGGTTGCCTTCTTGTTGCTGGCGCCGGTGAAACAAGGTTGTTTCGACATGGATTTGTAGGACTGGTGGGGCAACATAGCTCTTGCGATGCTGAGATCAAGCCCTGACTGCTAGCCTTCAAAGCCGTATGCTGACAGTTTCTTGCTGGAGCAACGCACCTCAGGGCTTTGAGAAGGCATTGCTCTTGGCATTTCCATGCTTTAGGTCAAATTGGAGTGCACATGTAGCAGAAGGTCCTCCTTTTCTGCAGCTGTTTGACCTTAAAGGCTCGACTCAAGCCTCTTTACTAACCCCATGTGGGCGTCCCTGACATGAAGATCACGGGAATCTCCGGGACAACAATCCTGGAACTTGATGAGAGCGAGACGAGTGTCATGGAGGAAGGTGGCCAACCCATTGAGGCCGTAAAAGATCGGCTTTGGAGGCTTGGTTACCCCAAGTTGAATCAGAAGCTGTTTACGTTGGATGGGACGGATGAGCTGGATGATGATGTGCTGGTGAAGTCTGGCATGGAATTGCTTTTGGTAATGATGACGTCCTGTCCTTCAGACAAGAAGTTTATGTCTGCATGTTCCAGCAATCGGATAACCAAAGTGGAGAAATTGCTTCAAAAGGGGCAAGATCCAAATACCCGAGATCCCGATCGCCAGAAGTGGGCTATCCATGCGGCTGCTTCCAAAGGCCACTCCCAAGCGGTTCAGCTCTTGGTCCAAGCACGAGCCAACCTGGAGGCCATAGACGCAAATGGTTCCACAGCTTTGCACCTGGCAGTGCGCCAGCGAGGATTGCCACATTGGTTGTGCCATTGGAGCGTGGTACAAGTCTTGATTGAAGCGGCGGCCAACCTGGAAGCGAGAGAAGCGCGCGGTTTGACAGCGTTGCACTTGGCAGCTTGCACAGGACGCTTCGAAATCGTCCGCTTGCTGGTTGAGTCTGGTGCCAATAAGGAAGCGACAGACCCATCCGGCATCACGGCTTTGCAGTTGGCCCAGTTCGTTGGCAGGAAGGAAATAGTGGGATTCTTAACCCAGGCAGCGGATGCAGAGGGAAAGGTAGATGGTTTCACATCAAGACACACGAACAAGCGGCGCAAGCTGTAAATCTTGGAGCTGGGCCGTGCAAGATTTCGGCTCCGCTTCTTGAATAGAATTTATGCGATTTGATTATTCATGAGGTTCTTCGGAATATATTTCAATTTGATAGAGATTTGGAAATAATATATCCGATCTTTCCGCGGAGAAAATAGAAATTCAAGAAATCCGAAGAATAACCTTCTAGTCGTGAAATGCCGCCGCTATCCGCCACGAATTAGACGAGAAGGGAGATGCCGAACGACGAAAAAAATAACGTAGAAATAGATTTTCAAATAAAATGAAATATTGGAGAGGAAAAATAAATATCTATCTTATCTAATTGTCTATTTTCTCAAATTGTCGCCTTCTCAGATTTGGATTCAATATTCTTGCCCGCGGGATCTTGATATTAGATATCGGGTTCTGCTATCATTCTCTCTGAATATATAAATAGGCATTGAATAGGATAATTATGGGATTCTACGAGACCTTAGATTCTATCCCCGACCCATTACAAATAAATAGGCGAATACTTCTGAAATTCAAAGGAAATGAGAAATTTCAATTTTTGATAGGTGATTTTTGTAGTGCGCTGTAGATTATCGTCGATAATTCGATAATAATATTTTTAGAATCCGTAGATCTTATTCATTCTAAATATAAAGAAATTTGATTTTATGATTTTTATAGAATATTGAAAATATATTGATTGGGAGAGAAACTATTTTTGATAATTGATTTCAATAATTTTTATCGCGTTATCGAATATTCGGATATAGTCTAACATTTATGATCGTTCTATTCAATTCTTATAAATCTATTTTGAGGGAGGATGATCGTTGAAATTGATAGGAGGATCCCATGCGCAGGGCATGATGATTCTGCGTTCTTATTTTTCTTTCTTTCGGCGTCTTCCTTCTCGTCTAATTCGTGGCGAGATTTCATGATTGGAATCGAATACCGAATCTTTTGATGATTCTTTTTCTCTCAAACGAATTTGAAGATGTTTGATTGCATTTCTTGCAAATCTTGAATAGCAAGATTTCTTCTATTTGATAGAATTCGAGAAGAGAATATGAAATTTATAGATAAAGATATATAAATATTTTATGATTTGATATATATATTCGACTAATAAATGATTTGAAGAGATTTTTTCTTCTGCATTTGATAATCGAATAGATGATTCGTTTATTTCGATACGAATTCGAATATTCTAATGAAGATTACGAATGAAACCGTTATCTCTAATTCATAATTCGAAGATCGATTTTCAATATAATAGAATCTATTCGGATTCTCGATGAAAAAAATTGAATGATCGATATATATCGGATGAAAAATATATTAAGAAAGAAAATCAGAAATTCTTTCATAGATATTTAGATATTTGATTCGTCTGATCTTATACCGTCTTGCTCTCTGATAAGGGCATTTGAGAATCAATCTAAATCATTTTCTTGGCTCATATAATTCAGATGCCTAAATAGAATTCAATTCTGCAAATAAGTCCTCCAACGATTTCAGTGCCGTCAAATCCTCGTAGATACGTGATAGCTCTGATTCCACGGAGGATATCGTCCTAAAAATTTGACGAATGCTAATTAGTCTAAGTCCAAATTTCCATCGAGATAAAATTGGATAGATTATTGAGATCGTGATCTATTTGATACGAAATTGGGATCGTCCAAATTCTCGAAGATCGGCGAAATCAGGAGCACAAGAAATCGTCTGGACCATGAAATTAACGTCCTCGATGAATTCCGACCGATAACGATTCTGCAATATTATAATTCGCCCGCA